TATTGTAAAATAATATAAAAAAAATTTTTATCAATTGTGTAACGATTTTGTGACGTATCAACGTTTCCTCCTGTTGGCATTTACTTTAGAATAATTTATATGTTGCACAGACGAATTGGAATCTTTGGATCTGAAAAAGTATGCGTCATTTATAACTTTACGTTGATAATTAACATATGTCACTTATAAATTTAAAATAATGTGCGTCACATTGCAATCAGCAAACCATTTATTCTTTTATATTAAACTTTTATCGGATATATTCCTAGTGATTGTTTAACGCTTTTTTAAAAGAAAATTTAACAGATAAACTGAATGTTTTTTCGTAATTAAAAAGACGATGTAGAATAAAGCAATTTTAATGAGCTTGAAGTTTTGAAAATTTAAATGATTTGTTTTGTTATAAACGTAAAATATAATATTGAGAAGGGTTTTTTAACGAACATGGAATAGGTTTGATTTTAATCATATTAAAAATCGACCAAAGTTATTCTTCAATCGGTGAAAATTAAAGAATGAGACACGTAGATTAACAATCAACAAAATCTATAATTGACGCAGAAAAAAGATACTCATATTTTAGTAAATTTTACATGTTGCTGTAAATAAACTGCATAAATCATACTGTAATATTAACAGCTGTATTTGTGCGTGAATGTAACAAATTCAACTGAGAACATTTAACGTTAGATTATAAGTTATTTAATTTACTTTGATTACAGACACATAACCAAGTTTTAAGCTTATGTCATTACAATTGAAGTAAATATATATATACATAATATATATAGCCTTTATAAATATAAATCAATATACTTCATATTATATTGTAAAAAAGCGATTTTATCTACCATGTCGTCATCGTCATAAGTATTTATAAGTTCATCTAGATTTTCTACTGGATTTTTATCATCCACTGTTAATGCAGGCAAATATTCTCTCGCAAGAGTAGCTAGTCCAGGAAGCATTTGTTTTGAACCTTGCCACCACTCATATGGATTAATATTATCTAATAATAATTGTGGGCGATAAATATAACATCTCAACTCTTCATTTGCTGCTTGCAGTGATTTATCCAAATTGTCTGAAAAAATATTGTTTAAATAATATGCTTGGCATTTTTTTAGTGTATATTCTATAATAACCTAGTATGTTGTA